GGGTGGTGAGAGGATTCACCAGAGACAGAGTGGGGAGCAGAATAGGCAGATCAACGAAGTACACTGCTGAGGGGAGCAGTGGGCAAGACAGGAGAGGTCTGCCACACTATTTGGGTCACCTCCAGTGTGGGGGATCGAACTCACACTGAAATGGCTGCAGTCAGCATACAGTGCTGTGCCCTAATCCGCTGTGCCACCAGGAAGGGCCCTTTAGTCAACTTTTTTTTTAATTTGTGCATACAGAACTAGGGTACAGGCCAGAGATGCACGGGCGGTGAGAGGATTCACCAGAAGCAGAGTGGGGAGCAGAACAGGCCGATTTAGGAAGTACACTGTTGAGGGGAGCAGCGGGGTAGGAGGGTGGGGTCAGGAGAGGTCTGCTGCACCATGTGGTCACCTCTGGGGCAGGAGGGGGATCGAACTCATGCAGAAGTGCCTTTAGCTTCTCAGGCTGTGTTTTAACCTGCTGCACTACCAGGGAGAGCCCCTTTAGTCAACTTTTAATGTTGGATTAACTCATTTGTTGAGAAGGCAGCGATAATCCTCCATGCACATTGGGCTTCTTTAACTTTGTTTCTATCTCCTCTCCTATAGAGTACAGGAACTTTACTGGAGAGGTACTGCGAGTATTAGATATCCATATGAGAAAAATTGAATTGGAGCCCTGTTTTACTGTATGCAAACAATCCATTCTTAATAGATTAAAGACATAGGTGTAAAAGGCAAAACTATTAATATTTTAGAATATAATTCTTTCCAAACTGTTCTTAAGGGTTTAAGGAATAAACATGGCTAGTAGGGGAAAAGGGACAGTAGAAAGGGAAGTTCTAGATCTTTCATACTATTTTGAAAACTTTCAGAAAGATTTCTTTAAAATACACAGTTGTCAAAACGAGCTTGAAATCAATGCTGTGTGGCATAGAATCATTTCTGTATGAAAACTCAAACTTGGTTTTTGAAAGCAGTACTGGCCCTGCTTATAGGGCTTTCTCTTCTGTTAGCCTGTAAATCCTTTGTAGATTGTTTTTCATTGTTCTCCCATGGTGTCTGGAATAAATGCTTGTTAAATGAATTCAAGCCCTGGGAATGTAGAAAATGTGTAGAGAAGAGCAGAAAGGAAAGAAGGTTCTTTTCACAGCATTCACATTTAGGGAAAGGAAGAAACCAAAGAATTAGGAACAGTTAAAAATAGTCTTACAGATGGTAAGGAAGAAGGAAATGCGTTTGTTACGGTTCAGGAACAGAAAGTGTCATTTATTGACTGTGAACCGAGAGGTGATGTTTAAGGACTTTGGAGTCAGACAACAGGAGTCAGTCACAACCAACCCTGCTCATATTAGCAATATGATTTTGGGCATATTATTTGGCTTCTTTAAAACTCAGTATTCATTTTTATAAAATGGTGATAGTATTTGATAAGTAAGTCATTCATGGTTTTGAGATTGAGCTTTCAGGATTATGAGATTAAAACGCAGATTAAGGAACTTGATTCTGCCATATTTTTGGTCTAAAAACAATGAGAGGCTTGGTAGAAAAGGAGCGTCAAGACACTGTAAAGAAAGATTTTTATAGAAATAAATACATTTTTCTTAAACTTTGTTACTGTGAATGGTCTACAGAAGTATAAGACTTAACAAAATCAATATTGTACTTTCCTGTTGAAAGCATGTTTCTCAGAATGCAATGTTTACATTAAACTGTCAGAATGCAATGTTTACATTAAACTGAGTGGTAAAGAAGTGCATTTAACATTTCATGTGTTAAATTATGTTATTAGATTTTTAGAAATGCATTTTGTCTTGATTCCAATTTTGTTGGAAAAATTGCTGACATTAAGTTACTTACACTAATTTTTTATGGTTTCTTATTTGAGACTCTCCTGAGAAAGCTACATTGGCTGCAAAGCTGTCTGCCAAGAAACAGGCGTCCACATACAGAGGTGAAAATGATGACTTTCAAGTGGAGAAGAAAAGAATTAGACCCTTAGAAACTACACAACAGGTAAATGGAGTTTATTGCAGTGAAACAATACTGTTAGTTACAACTGAACGAGGTAGTCAGGTTATCAGTCTAGTTTTCAGTGACACTTGTTGACACAGATTAGTTGGGTCATGTCACAAACATTAAATGGTAACTGACTGGAACTTCATTTTATATAGTTATTCATTAGAAAGCTTACTGTAGATTATTCAAAATAACATGTCATAATGAAGCTGCATGGTGCTTACTTATAAGGAATCTGACATAAAGTATTTGCTTAAGATATATGTTGGCAATACAGCTACTTTGTATTTTTAATTTATTTTTAACCATAATCATTTTATAGATGATATTTATTTAAAAATAATTTTATTGCGATAATAATGGTTTATGTCATTGTTTCCACAATAGAGGTGTATACTCTTGCTATTTGTTGTAACATGAATGGATCTGGAAGGGATAATATTAAGTGAAATCAACCAGAAGAAGAAAGACAAATACTGGATGATGTCATTTATGTGAAATGAGAAAAACAATATTTTGTACTTTTTAACTCCTTGTTTTTAACTAATTATGGCATTTTCTTTTATTTTTAAGATTGATTTATTTATGCACACAAGAAATGGGGTGTAGGCCAGAGGTGCGAGGATTGAGAGGACCCACCAGAAACAGAGTGGGGAATAGACTAGTCAGATCTACTGAAATACACTGCTGAGGGGAACAGTGGGTGAGACAGGAAAGGACTGCTGTGCCATATGGGTTAGTTCCCTGGGCTGGGATTGAACTCAAACAGTATCAGTTATAGTCTGAAACTTAACCCCTAAACTACCTTGGAGGCCCCACAAGGTTTTCTTATATAATTTATCACAGTGAGAAAGGGAGGCTGGAACTTTAATATACTCAGTTACAAATAAAATAGCTGATCATTAATTAGTATGTCATTTTTTATTTTGATTGAATGTACTCCAAAGCTTGTTTATTGAACACTTACAATCTTTATTAACTTCCATAATTAAATCTTGTTTTTTAGAAATAAAATTTAATGAGTTTATTTTTTGCAAGACATAATTAAAAGTGGAGTGACTCCATGAAGATACCATGGAAAATGTGTGTAAAAATTTGATGTTATAGGGCTCCGTTATATAGCATGTATTCCCTGACTTCTCTGATCTTTTTTTTTCTTTTTTGGTAGGAATGACATCAGTACAAATGCTTTTTTTCCTCTCTATAATTTAAGCAAATGGGTTTTTGGCAAGTCAGAAAGGCATAGACAGTTTGGAAAGAAAACTTAGTATTTATGGAAGAAATTTAGTAAGCTATAACTTTATGATCAAATATCCAATCACAAGAAATCAATTTATTCTGTCATGTAGGAATCACGAGTCATATTTGAGGCTTTTTTTCTGATTGTTTCAACTTAGAATGAACAAAAACTGATTCATTTTCCATTAGATATGTAATTAAATTTTACTATAATACTACTTTGTGTCCTTATTCTGAAACAATTTTGTTGGAAGATCATATTGTAATACTATAAATTTGACATGACACTGATAAAAGTTACTTTGTTTAAGAGTCGAGAGAAATTACTGTATTCCATTTAAGTTTTGTAAAGAGGTACATACTTTTGTTTTAAAAGTTATTTTATTGCTAATTAGAAGTAATCATTTTTTTAATGTTGAGAACACATTATATTTATTTTGACCTTAGAAAACAACTATCCTGATCAGACTTTTCATTTATATTAAAATTGGTTTAAATTTTGGTTCTTTGTTTAAGATTAGAAAACGTCATTGTTTTGAAAAGGAGGTACACCATTTGGATGCAACAGCTGCACCAGGAAAGACACAACTCAACTCTCCTTTAGGAAAGATAAACTCTTTTTCTCCACAAAAGGTATGTATTTATGCAATTGAGCAGGTTGAGAAAGGAAAATTATGGATTTTGCTATATCTATTTTTGAAAAAATAAAGAAGAATGCATAATGCAAAGAATAATAGAACACACTAATACAAGCTGTAGTTTATCAAGTAACTGCTATGAATGTGTTAGATGCTAGACCCCTTTGTGTCCCAGTTTTCCTCATTTGTGACATGAGAGAATTGGAAGAGAGCTGAATGATTTTCTTCTCTTACATATTCTTTTTTTTTAAAGATTGCTTTATACATACAGAACTGGGACACAGGACAGAGGTGTGGGGTGGGCGGTCAGAGGATTTACCAGAGACAGAGTAGGGAGCAGAACAGGCAGATTAACTGAAATAAACTGCTGCAGGGAATAGTGGGCAAGACAGGAGAGGGTCTGTTGCACAATGTGGGACACCCCCCTGCCAGGGATTGAACTCATGCTGCAGTGATTGCCATAGCTTCATAGTGCTGCGCTTTAACCTGTTGCGCCACCAGCGCACATATTCTCTTTTTTTTTTCAAGATTTGTTTATGCATAGAAGAACTGGTTGTAAATCAGAAGTACAAGGGTTGACAGGATTCATCAGAGAGAGAGAGTGGGGAGCAAAACAGGCAGATTTACTGAAATACACTGCTAAGGGGAGCAGTGGGCGAGACAGGAAAGGTCTGCTGCAACATATGTGGGTTTGGTCCCTGGCCTGGATAGGTATCAGTGATAATTATAGCACAGAGACTTAACTCTGCTGCACCAGGGAGGCCCTTCCTCTTGCATATTCTTTTTTTTTTTAAAAGATGTATTTATTTATGCATACAGAATTGGGGTACAGGCTAGCAGTGCAAGGGTGACCAGAGGCTTCACCAGAGACAGAGTGGGGAGCAGAACAGGCAGATCAGTGAAGTGCTCTGCTGAGGGGAGCAGCAGGCGAGACAGGAGAGGTCTGCCGTGCCATGTGGGTCACCTCCAGGCCCAAGGATCAAACTGGTACTGTACTGAAGAGGCTGTAGCCAGCTTGTGGTGCTGCATATAACCCATTGTGCCTCCTCACATATTCTAATGTTTGTAAACTCTACATCCCTAATGTTCTTTCACTGTCCTTAAAACAGCAGTTCTCAAAGGATAGGAAACTCTGGAGATCCCTGAGATATTTTTCAGGTAGTTTGTGAAGTTAAAAATATTTTCATGATAATAATAGGTTGTTACCTGCTTTTAAAAGACTGACATTTATATTAATGATGCAGAAGGAGTGATATCTAAAAGTGTTGGCACCTTAGCACAGTCAGGATAGTGGCACCGACTCATAAATTTCCACAATGTACAATTTAAGAAATAACCAGTTTTTCTGAAAACTGACCTTGAGGAATTTTTTATACAAGCACACCAGTATCCCTCTTTATTTTACTGTGGAATGTGTGCTGGAAAATTCAAGTGATAACAATTGTAAAAGGCTCTGTAGTGTGACTAACCCGCAAGGCGGTTGGTGTGTTTTGGAAAAGCAGTAAAACTTTTTAAAGATTTCAGCCCTTGAGATTTCTAATATTGTGTGAAGAAATTTGTAGTGCTCATGAAATACTTTTGCATACGGGAGTAGGATAATTGTCTTGGGCAGAAGCATTTAAGTTTAGATTTTGGGCTGAACTAGCCATTCCCCCCCCCCCCCCCCACGCAACATTAGTTTTACTTGAAAGGATAACTGGAAGTAATTACTATGGTAGTTCTTGAAAGTAAAGTGCACCTGATAAAATTTGAGCTTTCAAATTCTTAGACTTTAATGATACTGGTGGCAATATTAAGAATGCAACTTTTTGATATTGCATACTTTAATGTGTTAGCATTTGTGAGGTCTGTAAAACACATTGAACCAGATGTTTTCTGAAGGACTTGTGCATGACTTACAAAATGATGCCTGGATAAGATTCATCTCCAGGCAACCAGTTTTCAGTCATTAAAGAAGAGTTTCTTTTCCATAATTTCTATTTAAATGGAATCATCTCTGGCATTTTCATATATTTTAAAGATTTTATTATTGTGTAGAAGAAATGCTGTGAAAGCCAGAGATGTGGGGGCTGAGAGGATTCACCAGAGTGGAGAGCAGAACAAGCAGCTCTACTGAAATACACTGCTAAGGGGAGCAGCGGGTGAGACAGGAGAGGTCTGCCACACTATGTGAGTCAGCCCCCTGGTAGAGGATCGAACCCAGGCTGCAGCAGTGGACCATTGTAGTGCTTAACCCCTAGGCCATCTGGGAGGCTGATGTCTGGCATTTTTTTTGGTAAGGATTTATTTATTTGTGCATCCAGAACTGGGGTACAGGCCAGAGGTGCAGGGGAGCTGAGAGGATTCACCAGAGACAGAGTGGGGAGTAGAACAGGCAGATTGATGAAGTACACTGCTGAGGGGA